TTTGCAGGGAGTGGATTTGTGCTACTCATCCACTGCAGGCGTGCACTGTTTAACAGGTTTTTACTGTAGCATTTTTACAGTCTTTTACTGTTAAAATCACAATCATTTTTTACAGTGTGGGGTCAGGGAGTGCATTCAATAACTGGGAGGAAAACTGCAACTAGTCATTCACACTCCTGGGGGTGTGCTAAATGAACACACAGTTTCTCCTGTCATCATTTTATCCAATAGAAAGCCCTCTCCTGGGAAGTTTGAGCAAGCATTCAGATCTAACAAATCTGTTTGGCTTTGTGACACCCAAGTGCAAGAGAGAGAGATAGAGAGAGAGAGAGAGAGAGAGAGAGAGAAATGAGCTGATGTTCCAGGATGGAGTGATAATAATGGCTGTCAGAATCTTGCCATCTCTGTCTGCTTTTATAGTTCATCTATAAATGAAAACTTTGTCATCATTTAATCATCCTCATGTTGTTCCAAACCTATATGCTGCTATTTTTTCTGTGGAACACAAAAGGAGAATCTTGAAGGATCTCCAAGCCAGTTTTTTTCCCCATACACTGACAGTGACCGCACTAAACAAAGGGAAAAAAGTACTATAAAAGTATTATGAAATTGGTACTGGACTTGGTCTTCTGAAGTGGAATTCAGCTTTATATATACTCTCAGTCTTCTGAAGCCTTCTGAAACATAACTCTTTTGTCATTATTTGGATGTCTTCTTTATCTGATAGAACTCATTTCAGGTACTAGAGTCTCTGGTACTTAGCTGATGAGTTAAATCAGGTGTGTTTGATTAGGGAGACCAGGACCAGGGCAGAGAAACATATGTGGCATCACAAAAAGCTATCATATGGCTTCAGAATACTTATATAATGCATAATTTATCAAGGGGCCATAGTGGAGTGCTAGGGGGTATGTAGAAATGTTTAGAGAAAAATGTTTTAAAAAAACAAGTTGTTAAATTAAACATTTTCTTAATTATATTTTATACAATACTGGGTCTTTATTCAAAAAAACTATATAGGTGCCTTTTAAATTTTAGGATGGGGGCCCTTCCTTAAGTATGATCATATTTGGGGGTCCTTGTCATTTAAAATTTAAAAACCTACAAAAATGTGCTTTTATCAGGTTTTTTTTGGTCCATTTTTGCAGCTTGACAACACCACTGTTGTTAAATGAAAAAAAATGTTTTAAAATGATCTTTTTGTGTTCCACAGAAAGAAAGAAAAAAAACAATACATCAACAATTTCCCTATGGGTGGTTTCTTTAAATCTCTAGCATCAGTCCTATATTCTCAACAAAAACACACCTTGGCCTATGAGACAGACTGCACAGACCTACATTACCATTCAACTGTTTGCGGTCAGTAAAATTCTCCTATGCTTACCAAGGCTGCATTTATTTGAAAAAAAAAATAAAAATACAGTCAAAACAGTAATATTGTGAAATAGTATTACAGTTTAAAGTAAATGCTTTCTATTTGAATATTTTAAAATGTAATTTATTCCTGTGGTGGCAAAGCTGAATTTTCAGCAGTCATTAATCCTGTCTTCAGTGTCACATGATCCTTTAGAAATCATTCTAATATGTATGGACAGAAATTTGAATAGAACAGCATTTGTAACATTATAAATGTCTTTGCTGTCACTTTTGAGCCATTCAGTGCATCCTTTAATGCTGAATAAAAGTAATTTCTTTCAAAAGAAAAAAAAAACAGTATTAGTGTATAATATGCTATTATCAGGCTCATGGATTTACAGAATTTTACTCATGATCCTTATAACATCTACTGCAGTTTTAGAATATGGAGACATGATGTTGAAGCACTTTTTTTTTTCACCAACTCTCAAGTGCATCGACTGCATGAGTATATACATATGTTAAAGGTGTGTCTTAATGAGGGGTGGATTTTGTCCATGACATAGATCGTTAAGGCTCTCTGCTCATATGATGCTGCTCGCTGCTTCCACATCGATATGCTGACTCCCAACATCTTTGTTCTGCTAACCACCTCAAGGGGCTGATGAGAATAAGGCAATAAATCACAGCTAAAAAGAGACCAGCAGGGGTCTCTCTATAACTTACACACACTTTCAGTGCCAACACACACATTAACCCTTTCTCCAACTCTCATGAATAAAACATGACTGGCAGAAAAACACATTGAGAGGGCAAGGAATGGAAAATGTTTATTTGATGTTAGGTGGGGCATTGAATGAGCCATGAATTACCCAGATCAATGTATTTCCAAATGCTTTCAGACGTAAAGCAATTCTCACATTGTCTACAGATTACTGTGGAGCCATCCGGTCTCGTCAGGAGAAGGAACCGAGCAAAAGAATCCCTCCAGGGCTGATTTAACAACAGCATCCTCAAGAGATTTAAATCAGCATCAACTATATTTCATGCACCGCTACGCTGCATTTGCACCAGAGCTTATCTTGCAATTCAAATCTTTTGCAACCCTTTTTTTTTAGGTTTTGCACCAAACATGGGACATGACAAGGTCCCATTTGATCCCTTACGTCCTGAGCGCCCCCCAACACTGCACATTTTGTATGTCTCCCTTATCTGACACACCCATTTCAGGTCCTGGAGTTTCTTTTAATGAGCTAATGAGTTGAATCAGGTGTGTTTGATTAGGGAGACACACAAAATGTGCAGTGCTGGGGGGCGCCCAGGACCAGGGTTGAGAAACACTGCCTTACGTTAACATTTCTGTTCATCTCACTCCACTAATGCACCGCATACCTCCTTCCAGCATTGTTAATTAATAAATCACAGGCTTCTCTCCCTGCGTACGTGCCTCATCGCTGTCATACTGATTTGGAGTTCACTGCTCGTCACGTTATAGCTGGATCTCTAATAAGGCATCACAGTAGGCTGGTACTGTAAGGGCGTGCTCTGCAGCATTACTAGTGGCCTGCATTGAATTTTAAACTGCACTGCTCTGTATGGCCACAAAAGTACCTTGAGTGAAAGGCACCCAGCTCCTCAGGGATGATTTGCACATTTTGAAGGGATGTTTTTCACTCGGGGCTGGACAGTAGAGAAATAAGGTCACTGAGTGCAGGAGCTCTTCTTCTGCTGCTCTGAATGATTGCACACAGGCTAAATCTGGCTTCATATTAATGCTTGGACACAAATCCAATGACAAAGCAAATAGAATAAGTCCTATAATTAATTGGAAATATCTCATTTTAGTCCACTCAGGGGGACAAATTCATCGTCCTCTCATGGTTCAATAAGATTGGTTTGGGACTTTGTGATGAATCATTTTGAATTTTTGGTGATACGATTCAAATCTGTGCTGAGCGATGAGAAATACAGGAAATTAGCGGTTGCTAATGCTAGATGTCTATATAAGGTCAAAACGACTTTCAGCACTGCATAGTTCCAAATGGTTGAATTATCTACAGCAACTGCAGTTCTGGATCAATCAATTTCCATCTCAACTGAAGCATGTATGCTCAAATAGATAATAATAATATTAAAACTTTAAAATGTTTTTGAAAAGCATCCTTGGTATTTTTGAATATTATGAGCCTATTTAAAGCCATCCAACTCATTTTCCTCAGGTTTCATTAGAAAGAGGGAGATCATATCAGCAGATGTGTCATATGTCCTATAGTTTATCATATATATTAAAAGCCTGGCCATGTGAAGCAAATAAAGGTAAGAAGTAGAGTGCTTTCTATGCATAGCAGGTGTTCTTTTGGAGGCAGTCAGCACTATCTGACATGTCCCAGTCCAACATGACATGTATTTTTTGTCTATTCTGAAAAAGCAGGATTCTGGTTTATAGAAAAAAATCATTCATCAACCAGCACAAAAAGCCAAAGTTACACTATTTACAGCAAATAAAGTACTTGGAATTCCTACAAACTTTAAAGATCCTACAATAAAAGTAATATAATGTAAATAAAATACACATCATGGCTGAATTATTTGAATAATTCTCAGTGTTAAGACATAATGTTATTTCATTATAATTGCATGTTATTGTCCATTTGAAATATATTTAATATGAATACAACAATGTAAAAAAGATACTAAGATCAAATAAATAATTTAAATAATGTATTGGATTATTGTATTTTTTTCCTGTTTGATTTTGTGGTTTTTAGTTAACTTACCATATTACTTACTGACTTACTAATTTCTAGCAATTCACAACTTTCAGGAATAGCATGGCATCTTAACATTTTAAATTCAGTCAAGACATTTCTTTCAAGTAAATGAGTTCTACAGACATCTATGTTTTTACAGTGCAAGGCACATTGAAAAACAAACCCCTGTTCAGTTATTTCTTGTAAGAACTCAAATTAACTTTAAGTATCATTCAATTTCATATACTCTGCAATGTCAAATTTTAAAAAGAAAAGAGTGTCATTGCATAGAAAGATTAGCACACTACAGTACTGTCCAGCCAAATACCCTTCAATGTGTTTGATATGGGCCGCTGTCCTTGGTGCTGACTGTAGACGCTCAGTCAGTGATTGGGCTGCGTGCTCAGACGCTGTCTGAGGGACTCTGAGTACCAATGATGTCACGTACACTGTAACTGTAGCCCTATAACCATATTGCAATTCTATCCAAACAAACATTGCTATATTTTGTAAGAAATTGTACTTTTACACGTTTCATATCCACCCATGGCTCGAAAAATTGAGCTTTATGGTGTATTAACAGAAAAGGTTGATCAGGGAGCGTCTTAAAAGTGCATATTCATTCGTTTATAAACATTTGATGGCTGATAAAACATAAGTAGGCCAACTGGTTATGTATCATTTTATTATAGACCAAGATTAAACACCCCAAACTTTTGGTGTCCTTTCTAAAAACTCTTTAAACGTCATTTTTTTAGAACAATTACAAACAGAAAACATTTTTGAAAGTTATTTTATACGTCACTGAATATATCGCACACTGGATCAGTCACCCAAGTACTCGTTATGTGTGACCAGGAAGCTGAAACACTGATAAAAAATAAATGTAGCAAGCAGGACCCTCCCACATCGAGCTTTTTCGCAACAGCGCCTCGAGTATATAAATGCAGGTCGAGCGGCTATCCAGCGCTGAGAGAGCCACACACCCTACACCTATACACTTCTTTACCTCACACTTCTGTTCATCTGCACGTTCACACCCCGTCCGTCCTGATGAGTTATCCGATAGACACTATAGGAAGCCCCTACCGGAGGGTGATGGAAACCAGGACGAGCTATCCGAGCCCCTCCAGCGGGTTCCGCTCCCAGACCTGGTCGCGGGCAAGCCCGAGTTCTTCTTCGTACAAGAGGACCTTCAACGTCCCGGTGGCGCGAGCTTACGGCTCAACAGTTCTGAGCTCCACCGACAGCCTTGATTTCACTCAGACCTCCATCCTCAATGGAGACTACAAACGCTCCAATGAAAAGGAACAACTCCAGGGACTCAACGACCGCTTTGCCGGCTACATCGACAAGGTGCACTTTCTGGAGCAGCAGAACAAGCAGATCGACGCGGAGATCCAGGCACTGCGGCAGAGGCAGGTGTCGCAGTCTCAGGTGGGCGAACTTTACGACCAAGAGCTGCAGGAGTTGCGCTCCATGCTGGAGCAGATCCATCACGAGAAGGCGCAGATCCAGCTGGACACCGACCACATTGAAGAAGACATCCAGCGCCTCAGGGACCGCTTCGACGAGGAAGCCCGCATCAGGGAAGAGACGGAAGCGATCGTCCGTGCCCTGAAGAAGGACATGGGTGACTCAGCACTCGTCAAAGCAGAGTTGGAGAAGAAAGTGCAGTCCCTGCAGGACGAGATCGCTTTTATCCGCAACAACCACCAAGAGGAGATGAGCGATCTGTTGGCGCAGGTGCAGGCGTCGCAGATCACCGTGGAGAAGAGGGACTACCAGAAGGCGGATATCACCGAAGCGCTGCGCGAGATTCGCTCGCAGCTGGAGGGCCACTCGACGCAAAACCTCCAGCAGGTGGAAGACTGGTTCGTGTGCCGCTACGCGAAACTCACGGAGGCCGCCGACCAAAATAAAAGCGCCATCAAATCCGCAAGGGACGAGATCGCAGACTATCGCCGCCAGTTACAGTCCAAAACCATCGAGATGGAGTCTGTCCGAGGAACCAAAGAGTCTCTGGAGAGGCAGCTGAATGACATAGAGGACCGACACAACAATGACCTTGCCAGCCTTCAGGTACATAATCGCATGCTCTAAACATAAGCATACCATTTGTTTTTGCCATTTAAACAAACGTGCCATCTTCCAAACTTGCATTTTTATAAGTGCTTTAAAGTGCAGTGAAAGTTGAAAAACAATAGTATCAAACAGTTACTATATTTAATAGTGTATGCTTTTGTATATTTTTTGTTGAAAATCAAAATAATGTTCCTCAATTGCAGTTGAAAACTCATATTGGTAGATTAATACTCTGAATATTGTGGTGAACAATGGTTGCAGCCTTGCTGCTGCACTGGTGATGCATCATAAATCAGTTTGGCTTTTAAAATGTGATGCAGCTATCATCAGGAATTAAATCAAACCACAATTAAGTCTGCATGGCTGTGTGATGCTATTTCTTCTGAGCTAACTATGGAAAGCAGAGAGACAGACTGGTCATTCACAAGCGGATTTGCATATGATGCTTCATTACATCATAGGTGCAGTGGAATGGTGTTAGAAAGGGTTAAGGCGAGGCAGACACCCACAATGCAGTCTCTCCCCGCTCTTTGCTGAGTCAGAGCAGAGGCAGGGTTCACTCATTGTGTCCTAGAATCACCTCAGACACAGACTGAATGCACCTAATGGTTGCCCTTGAAGCCATACAGTGATACTCTGAATTGTAATGTAATTGGTACTGTGAGAGCATTAGCATCATAGACACAAGAAGTTCCTTGTATCATGCCAGGAATATATATATATATATACACACACACACACACACACACACACACACACATACACACAAATGATCTTGAGATTATCTCGAGCATACAACAGTTTTTCCTGTCTTCAGCAACAGATTTATTTGACTAAACTGTCACAATATTGTGTCTGATGCACTAGGAAACCATCCACCAGCTGGAGAATGAACTCAAGAGCACGAAATGGGAGATGGCACGGCATCTTCGTGAATACCAGGACCTCCTGAATGTCAAAATGGCACTAGATATAGAGATTGCTGCATACAGGTAAAATTGGGATATATTTTGCATATGAGTATATGGTGTAAATACCTTTTATTTTTAGTTAATAATATTATTATTTATCATATGTATTGTTATTATTACATTGCTAATATTATATTTCATATTTATTAACAATTAACATTTAATATATTATTATAAAAATATTTGTTAATGCAAATATGAGAATGAGAATATATATTATTTTATGCAAAAAAGCAGCATTTCCTTAACACTTAATTATCTTATTATATAGCCATACATATTTCAGAGAATGTCTACATGTAATCTTTACATATAATTATGATAACAGCCTAAATCGCAATTTGTATCTACTTCTTCTGTGCCTTTTCTCTTTATGTAGAACGCTTCTTGAAGGAGAAGAGAGCCACTTTAGCACTTTCCCATATCGCCAGGCCGTCACCAAAGGCCCCAAGGTCAAAAGAGAGCCTCCAAAGCTTAAAGTGCAGCACAAGTTTGTAGAGGAGATCATCGAGGAGACCAGGGTGGAGGATGAGAAGTCTGAGATGGATGAGGCTTTGGCTGAGATGGCAGAAGAGTTGTCAGCTGCCAAGGGAAAAGAAGAAGGAGAGGAAGAGGGAGAGGCTGAGGGTAAGGATGAAGAAGGTGGTGAGGATGAAGGAGAGAAAGGAGAGGAAGGTGAAGGTGAGGAGGAAGGAGAAGGAGAGGAGGAGGTGGTCGCCTCTACCCAAGCCAAAGTAGCCTCTGGAGCCCCTGCTGAGGTTGAAGAGGAGGGAGAGAAAGAGGGAGGTGAAGAAGAAGAAGAAGCTGAAAAGGGTGATGAAGAGGAAGAGAAAGGAGAGGAGGAAGAGGAGGGTGAGGAGGAAAAGAAAGAGGACGATGCAGAGGAGGAAGCAGAGGAAACTAAATCTCCCAAAGCAAAGGCCTCTCCTGAGAGTGAGAAAGCAGAGGAGAAGCAGACCAGTGGAGGAGAAGAAGAAGGAGAGCAAGAGGGTGATGAGGCAGATGCAGGTAGCGACAAAGGATCAACCGGTGAAAAAGAACCAGAAGCAAAAGAGCAGCCTAAGAAAGTAGAAGCAGAAGCGGCAAAGGAAGACAAGAAGGGAAAAGAGGAGAAGGAGGAGCCCAAATCTGAGAAAGAAACAGCAACTGTGACGGAAACCAAGACAGAGACACCTAAATCAGAATCTCCAAAGAGTGAAAGCCCGAAGAAGGAATCACCTAAGACAGAGGCTCCAAAAAAGGAAGCCCCCAAAAGTGAGTCTCCCAAGACTGAGAGTCCTAAGGCAGAACCACCCAAGAAAGAGGCCCCAAAGTCAGAGCCACCGAAAGCAGAAACTAAAGAAGATTCCCCAAAGCCAGCAGATGAGAAAGCTACTAAAAAGAGTGAACCAGAAAAAGAGCCTGAAGATAAAAAGAAAGAGGCAACCGTGAACGGAGACACGGGCAAGAAAGACGAGAAGAAAGAGTCCGATAAGAAGGAGGTGATCTCCAACGGAGTGGATGAGAGCCCAACCAAAGATGAAACAAGCCAGAGAGTGGTGATCACCAAGACAGTGGAGACCACCACCACTGGGGAAGGTGGAGTCAAGCAAGTCACAAAAACTGTTACCGTCACCGAGAAAGGAGATGCGGTGGAGGAAACCGTCCAGGAGAAGGTGGTCTCCAAAACCGTGGAGAAGCAGGCAGTGAAGGCCACTGAAGCAGATTAGACCCTAGCGTCCAGCTCTAACCAACTGAAGAGGAACCGGGGAGGAAGCATATCAAGCAATCAACACAACACTAACATAACAAAGAAAGCATAAAGCTCAACAGATGTATTACATTAACCACACTGAAACAAAAACAAGCATAGAGAGAAGCCATAAGATGCGGCTAGAATCTAAAAAAATGCATGTTGAGTGACAGCTTTAAATGGGTTCTGCTGCATATGCGGTCCGGGACGCCGGGGACTCGCTTTCACTTTCGTTCAAACTGCAATACCTGGGGGAGGGGGGTGGTCACTTGAATGTGGCATCTGCATGCCAGCTCAGGGGGGAGTGCGCTCCTCGTTTTTTGAGATAGAAAAATAACCACCCTATGTATGACAGTAATATAAAATACTCGCAGAGCGGTGGGGAATGACATTTACTTTGATTTTGAGCAATGAGGGGTGTAGAGACATGTGTTCTGACAAAAGTAGCCTTATAAATATTATCACGAGGACACCAACTGAGCCAAAAATGTAAAAAAGAATGAAGACGATGGTGAAAATAGCCCATGGTCATATACATATACATTACATAAAGCAACTAAGAAACTCTTAGCCTTAAACATGCTTTTTACCGTTGTCAGTTATGTTTACTTGATGAGTGCATTTGAAAATAAACCTGTCAGTGCGCATATACATTCTTGTATGCATAGAATTGACTTGAATTCAACTACTTACCGTTAAAGAGGTGCTACCGTTTGCAGTCCCATGTCTTTGTTCATCTGAATGAATTTCTCAGCAGCATTTGCTCAATAAACACCATATTAAAATACACTATTTACTTTGTCATGTCTTTTTCCTCAGGTGTTTGGTGTTTATTGGTATGCATGAATTTTTATGTACATTATTTGTGAGTGTGGTTTACACATTTGCATACTTGGTTAGTGATGAAAAATATTAAAGTACAGCAATTTAGTTTAAGTTCTGAGTGATTTCCTATGGAAAAAATGTCTTTAAGTATGTGCTAAAAAATACCGTAATCAAGTTCTAAATATCTTTCAAAAAATGATAAATCTTTTAAAAAATCATGTAAAACAATGGATGAAAGTGACGTGTATATGGCTAAATTTTAATTTCTTGAATAAATTTTTGTAAAATAAATTTTTCAGTGATATCAGTCCACCTAGGAGAAGTAAAAACAGCCACCTCACTTCCTTTAGACACTTCCATTAACTGTTGGACAGGTCAGGTGACTAAAATGTGACATTAATGCTGACTTTTCATATACTGAACAGTAATATACTGCATGTTGTTTGTTCAACTTTAAATAAATATTTAAAAAATCTTGGTATTGAGATTCATCACATTTTTGTTCTTTACAAGATCAGCAACTTAAAGATCTGCCTAAAATGATTTACATCTACAGTATATGTATTTTATTTTTATTGAATGTTTTGTTGAACCATCTGTGAGACATCTGCCGAATGCAATTACATGACAGTAATTGCCCATACTACCAGCTGTATGTGAGAATTTATTGAGAAAATGTTGCTGCATTGCAGGCTGAGACTGCACCATCAGAGATATACAACAAATACAAATACTACCCAACTTTCATAATGGACTGTTCAAGGCATCAGTATTGTTAATTGACCATCATTCCATTAAATATGATACATAATTTAAAAACTAAAGTGATAAAACGACAGTGTTTTTGTCTTTCCTGTCTATAGTCAAAAACATTTTGAGAATTATTTTTGTTGGTTTTGATTGCTTCTATTGTCCTAATATGTAAGTCGCTTTGGATAAAAGCGTCTGCTAAATGACTAAATGTAAATGTAATTATTTATATATTCAGTCCAGGGCATCGTTCCCTGATACTGCTACAAAGGACTCATCAAAAAATGCACCTCAAGTTCTGTGAACTATTTGTGCAGCACAAGTTGTGGGGCACAGCAATACGGAAATGTACACAGATGCACTAGTAATTTGGGTGTAGTTTGTATTATCTTGTACTATATCTAATGTACTGCTAATAAGTAAAATTCTGAAAAGTCTTTTCAAAGGAAATATCCTAAATTTATCAGACAGTAATGACTGTCTATTTTACATTGAACTTAGTGTCTTCAGCAACATGACCCAGGGTTCCATCTGACACTTTGTTTTCTGTGTACTCATATTTTATTCTTATACTGTCAATTTTAACTCCTGATGTATGTACATTTGTATGTGCACATATAAAGCACTGTTTTAAATGGTTCTACATAAATAAAGTTTTACTTTTTCAGAGGTACCTTTAAACATTTTAAAAGGTGTATACAGCAACAGTTTAAGTAAAGGTCACATGATCCGTAAAGCTTTTAATAAATGTCTCACTGGCATTTTTTTATTTATGAAGTTTTCCCACATTAGGAATTCTGCATCATTTTTTTTTATTACATTCACAACCTTTTTTGTATAACACTTAAAAGTGTTGCAGATTCATACCTTTCATATTTAAGTTTCAAATTTGCTTTAAATATCTAAAGACATCCATTAAATTAAGCAGACATTAAAGAACTTCTGAGTAAGGAAACTATTAAAAATGATTACACCCACAAATAATATTTTTTTAAAAATCAAAGCAAATCTTTTTGATCATCAAGAAGCATTTTTTAATTGTACTGGCAGCAAAGATTCACTTTTTACAATTGCAAGACCGATGCTTCATTCAAAAATATAATCTACTTCACAAGCATACATTCACTCAGATATGTAGATCATCAACAGCAACATCAGACAATCATTATGATTTAAACGCTGATAACGTTGACTGTGGTTTCAAACATTGTATTGCAGTTTGCTCTCAGCACCATTGATCAAGGCATGTTGATAGTTACAGACTGAAGGAGAACTAGAGAAGCAGGTCAGGCTATTGGTATTTGTGCTGTTAAAGATCAGACTCATTACTTCTTCCCCTTGGGTTTCTCAGTCTCCTCCTTTCCCTTTTCCTGCTTTACACTTTCCTTTTTCTGACTCTTGCCTTTCTCACCTTCATCTTTACCCTTTGGCTTTTCTGGCTCTGCCTTTTCTTTAGCTTTGGGTTTCTCTGGCTCTTCCTTCCCTTTATCCTTTGACTCTGGTTCAGGTGCAGGTTCACTTTTCTCCTTGGCTTTCTCTTTGGCTGGTTCAGGTTTGACTCCCTCTTTGGCTTTTTCAGCCTTAGGCTCAACTTTTTCCTTCTCTACCTTGTCTTTTTCTGTTTTAGTGTCTTCCTTGTCGGTCTCTGTATCCTCTTTGGCCTTATCAGCACTTGTGTCAGCTTTCTCCTCACTTTTCTCTGCCTCAGTATCCTCCTCTGCAGCCACTTCCTCCTCCTCACCTTTCTCTCCCTCTTCCTCCTCTCCCTCTTTCTGCTCACCCTCTTTACCATCTCCCTCTTTTTCATCTCCTTCATCTTCTTCCCCTTTAACATCATCTTTTTCTTCAGTCTCCTCTTCCTTGTCTCCTTTTTCTTCTTCCTCTGCTGCAGCTTCCTCTTCCTCTGCTCCAGCTTCCTCTTCCTGTTCAGCACCTGTTTAAAACAGTAATTTAGTCATGCAAAACAGTAATTTAGTAATGCACTTCTTGTCAGTATTTGGAATCGTATAATATTCTTATTCTTAATTACGAAAACAGCATCTGAATCTTACCTTCCTCTTCCTCCTTTGTTTCTTCTTCTTCCTCCTTCTCTTCCGCTTCCTCTTCCTTTACTTCCTCTTTCTCCTCCTCCTCTTCTTCTTCTTCTTCCATGGTAGGACTGGCAGCAGCTTCTTGAGCTTGACTGGATGTGATGGCCTCATGGGCTGGGAGGGATGCACTAACCAGGCGAGATCCAAACAGGTAGGGGGCACCAGAGCTCAGGGTTGACAGTGAGAACATGGGTCGGGAGTAGACGGGACCAACAGAGTAGGCACCAACCAAACCTCCCACACCCACATTGAAGCGAGACTCCTCCCCCTCAAGCAACTTCCTTCAAAAAACAGAAAAGATCATGTGATGAATTGGAAGCATTGACATGAATCCAAAAATCTGACCTTATATTAGTGGTTCTACCTGTAAGCAGCTATCTCAATATCAAGGGCCATTTTGACATTGAGAAGATCCTGGTACTCTTTAAGGTATCTCGCCATTTCATTCTTAGTGGCTCGAAGTTCATCCTCAAGGTCACTGATTGCATCCTGTGGGGAAGGATGGATGTCAAAATAATGATTTGAGAACTCAAATTACCCAAAATTGTGGTTACTAACACTAACCTGCATGGCAGCAATCTCTGTACTCTGCTTGTCCTCCACCTCCCTGAGCTGCTTCTCCAGAGACTCATTCAGGCCCTTGCAGGCATCAGTCTCAAGGACACATGCCTGAAGTTGGCGGCGATACTCTCCCACTTCATCCTTGGAGTTCCTCACTGCGTCAGTGTGGTGCGCCACGCTCTCTGTCAGGTGGCCCATCTTCCCACGGAACCATTCTTCAGCTGACTGGATGTTCTTGGCTGCCAGCTTCTCATACTGGGCTCTGATGTCGCGTAGGGCACTGGACAGATCGGGCTTGGCGGTCTCCGCCTCAATGGCGATCTGGGCCCCATATTGAATCTGGGCCTGCAGCTCTGAGATTTCACCCTCGTGGACCTTCTTCAGGAACACTAACTCATTTAGCAATATATCAACCTTTTTCTCCAGCTCCACCTGAGCCAGAGTGCCGTCGTCGGCCTCCTTGCGGGCCTCCAGAAGCCTGCCTTCGGTGTCCTCGCGGGCAACCACCTCTTCCTCGTAGCTGGCCTGCAGGCTCCGCAAGACATTTTCCATACTCTCCCGGTGGCTCAGCGCAGCCTGCCTCTCCATGCGGGCCTCCTCGACGGCGGCTCTCAGAGCGCGGACCTCCTGTTCGTACAGGCCCCTCAGGCGGGAAGGCTCCACATGCTTCTGCCTCAGCAGGAGCAGCTCAGCCTCCAGGGCACGGTTCTGCTGCTCTAGTTCATGGACGCGCTCAATGTAACCTGCAAAGCGGTCGTTGAGCTCTTGCAGCTGGGCCCTCTCCTGAGTTCGCACTGCCCGGACTTCTGAGCTTACCTGGGCGGCGTGGCTGATGTCCATGTCCACAGAGCGGCCAGGGCTGCTCAGCAGCAGACCGGCGGAGGTCCGACCGGGGGAGGCATAGTGGAGGCGGCTTGAGGAGAGAGAGGGGGGATGGGCAGAGAACGTGGTGCGAGAACGACCACGCTGAGAAACCCGGGGGCTGCTCTCCACATACCAGCGCTTGTAAGAGGACGAGTAGTAGGGGTCAAACCCGACGGCACTCATGGCTCCAAAGGACAAGCTGCTCTGTGCCTCAGTACCACAGTCAGCTCGATCAGCCTTCAAACACTGATCTGCTGCTCCTACTGCAGTCAGTGCAGCTTATATAGCCAGAAAGAAGCTCTGACGCAAGTGATTTTCTAAACTCTGACAATGCAGTATCAATAGCAGAGGGAGAGAGAGAGAGAGAGAGAGCTATGTGCAGTTGAATGTGCATGTCAAGGAATATAATATAATTTTGTTAAGAAATTATTAGATTTTTACTCTGAAAATATCATAAAACAAAATGCTAAATTTATACGTTCATACACTCTGTGACTGCCACCAAGGGCATTATTTGCATAAGAAGCTATAATTAAGCAAATCATGCTTTGCATTGTGCCTCGTCACATTATTTTAACATATTATTTAATTATGAACCTAATTATGGTATGTAAATGGCTCAAATATATACATACAACACGCAGCTTCCACTGCAGATACAGAGATGAAAGCTGGAGGAAGAGAGGAAGAGGGGAGGAGGTGGGGGTGGGGTTGGAAAAGAAGTGAGGAATGGTTACAGCTCTATTTTCAGTGCTTTACCTGTGGAAACACACCATCGCCTCTGCTGGATATGAGGGGTAGTACATACAATATGACACATGAACAAGAAGTGAATGTTTTTCCTAATGCAGACTGAATTGTCCCCCCCCCCCC